TCTGAGAGGCAGAGGAGGAGATATGGTAATAGGATACAAGGGCGGGCCAGACAGGTAAAAGGGGTGTGTGTTTCTGGGCCCAGAGCCACTCTATCTCTTTTTTCCATACCCTGGGCACCCCGGACGCCTGCAGCTTGCCCTGCCCTACACTTACACCTTCCTCGTGAGGCCCCCGTCACCTCACCATTGGGATCGCATTAAGTCCACAAATCCTAATGTATGGATTTTCTTCTACCGTACTTGTACAGCATCACCCTTAATGCTTTCATACAGTCGCTCCATACCGCAGGGATGCGGCCACTGCAATTTTGAGCTCCCCCCATCATATGCAGCAACCATAGATTCTCCAATCTGGATTGGATGTTTCAGCACCTGCTCTATAAGACGACTCCTGCATATAAGACGACCCCTGGCTTTTGAGTTAAAAAGTTTCTTATATGCCAGAAAATACGGCATTCGCAAATTATGGTAGAAAATAAGTATTTGGTCACCTACAAAAAAGCAAGATTTCTGGGTCTCACAGACAGGCTCCTCTGTCCATTCATTCCCTGTAGTAATGGCACCTATTTGAACTTGTTCTCAGTATAAAAGACACCTGTCCACAACCTCAAGCAGTCACACTCCAAACTCCACTCTGGTGAAGGCCAAAGAGCTGTCAAAGGACACCAGAAACAAAATTGTCATCCTGCACCAGACTGGGAAGACTGAATTTGCAATAGGCAAGCAGCTTGGTGTGAAGAAATCAATTGTGGGAGCAATAATTAGAAAATGGAAGAGATACAAGACCACTGATAATCTCCCTCGGTCTGGGGCTCCACATAAGATCTTACCCCATGGGGTCAAAATGATCACAAGAATGGTGAGCAAAAAATCCCAGAACCACACAGGGGAACCTAGTGCATGATCTGCAGAGAGCTGGGACCAACATAACAAAGGCTACCATCAGTAACACACTATGCTGCCAGGGACTCAGATCCTGAAGTGCCAGATGTGTCCCCCTGCTTAAGCCAGTACATGTCCGGGGCCGACTGAAGTTTGCTAGAAAGCATTTGGATGACCCAGAAGAGTACTGGGAGAATGTCATATGGTCAGATGAAACCAAAGTAGAACTGTTTGGCAGAAACACAACTCGTCGTGTTTGGTGGAGAAAGAATGCTGAGTTGCATCCAAAGAACACCATTCTTACTGTGGAGCATGGGGGTGGCAACATCATGCTTTGGGGCTGTTTCTCTGCAAAAGGACTAGGGCAACTGATCCGTATACATGAAAAAATGAATGGGCCCATGTATTGTGAGATTTTGAGTGCAAACCTCCTTCCATCAGCAAGGGCACTGAAGATGAATCATGGCTGAGTCTTTCAGCATGACAGTGATCCCAAGCACACTGCCAGGGCAATGAAGGAGGGGCTTCGTAAGAAGCATTTCAAGGTCCTGGAGTGGCCTAGCCAGTCTCCAGATCTCAACCCTATAGAAAACCTTTGGGGGGACTTGAAAGTCCATGTTGCCCAGCAACAACAACAAAACATCACTGCTCTTGAGGAGATCTGCATGGAAGAATGGGCCAACATACCAGCAACAGTGTGTGCCAACCTTGTGAGAACTTACAGAAAACATTTGACCTCTGTCATTGTCAATAAAGGATATATAACAAAGTATTGAGATGAACTTTTGTTATGGACCAAATACTTATTTTCCACTATAATTTGCAAATAAATTTGTTAAAAATCAGACAATGTGATTTTCTGGATATGTTTTCTCATGTTGTCTCTCATAGTTGAGGTCTACCTATGATGTCAATTACAGGCCTCTCTCATCTTTTTAAGTGGGAGAACTTGTACAATTGGTATCTGACTAAATATTTTTCCCCTACTATACATGTTCTGTGGCACCTGTAGTACAAGGATCATACTATATTTATGTTTTTAGTAAAAATTCAATTATGTCCTCATGTCTAGAAATAGATTTACCAATTCTTTCTCTTCTGTTGGAAACTAGACTGGTAGGGAGAGAAGAATATATCTTTGTCTTCTCTCTGTCACCCTCACCTTTGTTTTAGTGAAAGCAAAAGGTATCATTGGACAAAAGGCAATAAGCACTCTGCTTGTTAGCCATCTCCCTCCCTTGCTCTCTCCCTTTCTCCCTCTCTTTCCAAATTAACTTCCAGGGATAAACCCAAACACTGAAAGCTAGTCCGAAGGCTCATCCCTGGCTCAAATTTATCCGTGCAAAAGAGAATTATATTTTGATATGTGTGGCGATTTTCCTGTCGAAAGCTGGCATTCAAAGTTGTTTTCTCACTAAAAAAGCAGCCTGGGTTTTTCTCTCCTGATCAGAAAAGCTTTTACTTCATCTGTTTCTTCTCCAGTGATTATGCTTCTCTTTTCTGTTGCTCCTTCCCAAACTCAAATGGGCACTGCTATACCTCTCACTGATCCTTATGTCTTGAATAATTTTAAGCACTTTTATGTTGCAAGCAAGGCAATGCTCAAAACCCATTTCAGCAGTTGCTAATTTGGCAATAATGGTAGTCTCCACAATGGCAATTAATGAACAAAGGAACATTGCACTTTGTGACCTAGCAACCAGGTTTCCCTTTAAACTGATTTCTCCCTCTCTCCCTTTTTCTTTCTTCTTTTTTGCACACTACATGTCAAAATCCCCAGAGAACAGCAGTGCTAAATTGCTTTGTATGTGGCTGATCTTTCACCATTTGGTGGCAATGCTTGTTTCTCTCTTTCTCTCCCTCTCCCCCCCCCCCCACTCCTCTCGTATTGGGTTTCATTTGTCACTTTCTTTTGTTTTGTTTTGATGTAATTTCTCATTCGTGTATTATTTCTTCACATTTAGCAATACCAAAGAGAGCAAACAGTTATCTCTCTCTTAAGGCTGCCAAGTATCTTACAGAATAGTAATCATTATAGCGTTTTGAATGTCTTTTATGTGTTTTGAGGAGCTTTGTTATATCATTGTTTTGTCCATCATCCTCCCTCAAAATTACATAAACTCCTGTTTTACATGTGTAACTATGCACTTTACTTTACTTTATGCTTTGTACATCTGTATCTAGCTCTTGTTCTTGCATATCTTGCACACCATGAAGAGCTTTTATAAATAGCCATTCATAAATAGTCATTGCAGGAGCAATAGATGCCTCCAGAATTGATTCCTGCTTTAAATTCATGCAGCTGGACACTGTTTTGGTATATCTATATTGCAATACACACACACACACACATACCCTGCCACGCGTTGCTGTAGCCCAGACTGTGTATATGTTTTTTGTGTGTATATATATGTGCATATATGTGGTTTTGTACATGTGTTGTAATGTAATTTCTTTGCTTTTAAGTCTCTTCTGTTGTGTTTTTTGGTGTTTTTATGAGTGATGGTCACTTACTGGCCTGATAAGTGCATTGTGTCCAAATTTGGTGTCAATTCATCCAGTGGTTTTTGAGTTGTGTTAATCCCACAAACGAACATTACATTTACACTTGCATAGTTAAAGCAATGACATTCCCATAGTAAACTATGGATGTGAGAACTGGACCATAGGGAAGGCTGAATGAAGGAAGATAGATGCTTTTGAACTGTGGTGTTGGAGGAAAGTGTTGAGAGTGGCTTGGACCACGAGAAGATCCAACCAGTCCATACTTCAGGAAATAAAGCCTGACTGCTCATTGGAGGGAAGGATAGTAGAGGCAAAGATGAAGTACTTTGGCTACATAATGAGAAAACAGGAAAGCTTAGAGAAGACAATGATGCTGGGGAAAATGGAAAGAAAAGGGAAGAGGGGCCGACCAAGGGCTTGAAGTGACTGGATTGGCCTTGAAGGAGCTGCGGGTGACCATGGCCGACAGTGAGCTCTGGTGTGGGATGGTCCATGAAGTCCATGTGGTTTAGTGCATTCATTGTAATGTATTTTTTTGGCTTTTTAAGTTTCTTCCACTGTGTTTTTCAGTGTTTTAATTAGTGATGGTCACTCATTGGCCTGATAGGTGTATTGTGTCCAAATTTGGTGTCAATTCACCCAGTGGTTTTTGAGTTATGTTAATCCCACAAACAAACATTACATTTTTATTTATATAGATACACACACATACACCTGATGTCTCAATATTAAGGAAACAACCACAAAAAGCACATGCACAAAAGAGGGGGGCTAAAAAGGAGAGACAATTTTAATTATTTCAAAGCTGTACCATAACTTACAGTAAAATGTGTATTAATTACCATCATTCTAGAAATATTTTTATCTACTTTAAAGAGGTTGTGGTGCTACTTTGGCAACGTTCCACTATGTTTGACAAACATAGCCTGGAGCAAGTTATTGAGGACTTTGCAAAGAAAACATTGCTCTTAGGGAATAACATGACATGGCAGTGCCCTTTGCTCATTTTTAAAATTCCATGGCAAGGTTTCCATGTATGTAAACACTGACCCGTTTGGGGGAAATATCATTTTAAGCTAGAATATTGGGGGTTAAATTATTTCATGGGAAAATAATATTCCATTTCCTTTCCCCCTTAAAAGTCTGAACAGTAAAAAGAACCATATATATATTGCAATGTAATTTAGGGTTTCTGTGGCTTTAGTAGATCAGTGGCTTCCTTTGCAAAACCAATATTCATTCTTTTAAAAAAAAAATCCCATGTCAGTAGTGAAATTATATTGGAATCCTGATGGAATTGCTCCTTTTAGCCCACAGTATTTTGCATCGCCTAAAGCCTCAGAATAGCAGTACTATTTTTGAGAACCATATGCTTCCAGGCTTTGTGCTTTATGCTTTCTGTACCTGAAAGATTTGCAAATCATATTTATTACACATAAAAGCTCTGGTTAAGTTTGGAGAATTACAGATGACTTCCAGTTGTGCAACTGCAGGATCCAACATTTTATAGGTGTACCATAAGTGGAACTCTTCTTTAAAACATGTGCATGTTTGTAGTTTTATTGCTACTTTGCGTAGTTTAATATTTTCTCTCTCCCATTCTTTTCACTCAGAACCTCCTGGCAGGGATGTAGGTCCAACTCTGGGTTTGAAGAAATCAAGTTCCTTAGAGAGTCTCCAGACAGCTGTTGCCGAAGTGAAAAAGAACGAGCTTCCTTTCTATAGGCCCAGGCCTCACATGGTCCGTGGTAGAGGGTGCAATGAGAGTTTCAGAGCTGCCATTGACAAATCCTATGATGGACCTGAAGATTTTCCAGAAGGTGTGTGCCTCAACATTTTTTCTTCTCCTTTTTTTTAAAACAGGTTTCCTAAACATGGTGCCATTCAGTTGTTGTGGACTACAACTCCTGACATCTCCAGTCAGTTTGACATAGGAGGAAGAGAGAAGGAGAACATTAGACTTTTCAGTGGTTATTTGAATCTAGAGCTTACTCTGGTGAATTCTAGTGATGAGAATCATTTTCAGCATCCATGAAGGCATGACTAGACTTTAAATGTGGTTCTAAAGCCAGCAGTTAGTCCCAACATGATGAAATCCAAACAGGTTAAAGCTCAGGTTATAGCCATACTGAGGTTATAGCTCACTATGGCTATAGATACTGCTCACTTTCCACTGCTCACGGGCAAATATGAAATACTTTGGCCACATAATGAGAAGACAGGAGGCCTTGGAAAACATAATGATGCTGGGGGAAATGGAAGGAAAAAGAAAGAGTTGTGACCAAGGGCAAGATGGATGGATGTTATCCTTGAAGTGACTGGCTTGATCTTGAAAGATCTGGGGGTGGCGACGGCCGACAGGAAGCTCTGGCATGGACTGGTCCATGAGATCACAAAGAGTCAGAAACGACTGAATGAATAAACAACAAATGGCTATGAATCATGATCCACTGCTTGCAAACCCATTAGGAATGGATTCACTGTAATCACAATTCAGTAGTTTTTGGAAATAGCTACTTAGACTACTTCTACACAGTCCTAAAACACGAGAGGAACTAGTATTTAAAATGCCGGTTTCACTCAGGTTTGCAGTCAACCTGCCAGCCGGAACCCCACCATTTTGGTGGAGTGGCTAGATATAATCTCGGGTCCATCTGAGATTGACCCAGAGGTATTGCCCCCAGCCCTATTTACTCCTATAACCAATAATAATAATAATAATAATAATAATAATAATAATAATACTTTATTTGTACCCCGCTACCATCTCCCCATGGGACTCGGTGCGGCTTACATGAGGCACCGGCCCAAACACAACAATACAAGCCTATAAAAAGAAGTTTTCTACTAGAGACCTCCGAATGGAGGCAAGCCTCTACAGTAGGTTTAGTGGTAAATGAGGGACAGGGAGGAGAGGGTGGCACTGCCATCGTGCCCCCTGGTGTACCGGAGCCCAAGGAGTACCGGAGCCCAAGGAGACAGAATGGCCATGTGGATTGACCCTCGGTTCATGAATAGCAGTCCCCACAGTCCATCCCAAGATACCCTCTACCTGGGGGTATTTTTCCCGGGTATTTTTTAACCCAGAGCAATCCTGGATATCCAGGTTTACTTTGGATTAAAATGGATTAGCCTGATTCGTGTCAGGTTAATCTGTTTCTCAGCTCGCATTAAAGGGCTGTGTAGATGGGGCCTTAGATGTGCCCTTAGAATATTTGGATTTGATAGTACTGATACAGATATAATCACAAAATGCGTGCTCATAAATTTGAAATCCACTTATGACCTCTTAGTTCTTTGACTGACGTAACCTTTGAATTGATGTATCTCAAGGAGCAGTGTATATATTTTGTTTTAAAATCTAATATCACCAACTGTATTATTTTTCCAAATCTGGAAAATAAGAACCAATAATGTGACCTTTATAATTAGCAAAAGAGTCCTATTGGAATTAATTGCGTAAGTTATATAGTCTCTGCTAAATGAAATGTTAAATAAAAGTTAAATAAAAGTGAATTATAAGGCACCATGGATGCCTACCATACTTGTAATTTTAATTTTTACATGGATATCAAAAATGCCCTGGGTCTGTATTTATTCATTTTCTTTCCCTTTCTGCAGATGGCATGTCAGATAAGAGCTCCCTCTCTGGTCAGGAAGTACAAAACTTTCATGCCAGTTCTGAATTAGAAGATGTGGAAGGCAAGGCAAAAAAACACAAGAAGACCAAAGACAAATTCAAAATTAAAGAAAAGAATAAAAAATTGAACATGAAGAACAAATCTAAAGTGAAGGAGAAGGACAAGAAAGAAGAAAATGAAGACCCAGAGAGAAAAACAAAAAAGAAAGGCTTGGGTGCCATGTTGAGGTAAAAAGTCAAGTTATATTTTTAAGTTCTTGCTTTTATTTTCCTATCAGTGGTGTGTTAAATTGAAATTTATTAATTGATGTGATGAGAGGGTGTGCAATGGGTTTGCATCTAAAAATACAGGTTGGTGTGTCAGGTAAGAGGGCACTATACTCTTCTCTTTCAAGTTGACCATTAAGTTGCTACTGGTTGAGAAAGTGCTTTGCCTGAGGCCTCTTGTCCAAGGCTTCAATTCTTTTATACTTAGACTGATATGTGAAATGGAGATCAGCTACCAATAAAAGGGAAAGGTGAAGTAGGTAAACCACATAGTAAAAGTGAAGGTTTGGCTGGACTGGTCACCCAAATGAGTAAACTCTCACAGATGAGAGCAGTTGCTGTTTACGTCAACTGTTTGGACTTTACTTTGGAAGATGTGCCATATCATGAAAATGTATTACTTTAGCCTTAGATTTTGTCAGGAGCAATATGAGACTTTTTTAAAAAAATTAAAAGCCATTATAAAAATCATGCTGTGACAACTGTGAAAAATTTATGCACTGTGTGTTTTTATATAGCAGAGCAGGAACTTTAATCTCATGACAACCCCAACCATTGCAATTTGGGTCAGTGTGAAGACAGTAATCCGTTTGTCACTTCCTAAATGCTTAAGTATGTTTAACGTGGTGCTTGCTCATCCAAAAGGGTGTTATAGGAAAGCATATTCTTGAGTTTTCTGGATTGGATGATGGGTATTAAGTTCTTAATTTGTGGCCTGGTTAGTATAGTTATCTGACCCGAAATCATCTCAGTCAGTGTATTTTTTCGCTGCAGAGCCAAAGCTTTGGCTTTACTTTTAAATTAAGTTAAATAAAATCTGAACCTTTTAAATCACCAGGAGAATATGACATATGTCATGGTGTGCCGTTACTCTGAGGCCTCATCCCAGAGCAGTTGTTAGAGGAATGGTGTATAATAAATGTAATGTGGCTGTGGCCCTGTTATTACCTTTTCCAGATAGTGGTTGTAAAATTCCTGGGTTTACCCTTCACTTTTTATGGGCATGAAGGTAAGTTAGCTAATGGACTGCAGCCATACCAATGAAAATTTAATAGTTAGCTCCCTATAGACAGCCAGTAGACTGGAGCTGCAGTGTTTTGATTTTTAAAGTGTGGACTCTATTTCTGACCTTTTCAGTGGAAAAGCAGGATGGAACAACCATCCATGATGAATGCAGGACCCAACAGCCTCTTCTTAAGTTTCCCAATTGGGATGGAGATCTAGTAAGGCTGCTTTTCTAGTAGACATGTGCGAAATGCCAAAAATCTGCTTTGTTTCTATTAACAAAATTTGAGCAACTCCCATTTTGTTTCTAAAGTATTTTTAAAAATTTGCAAAAGGTTCGTATTGTATCTAATACAAAGTTCCAAAAAGTTTGGTAGTTTTTGTTTTGTTTTGTTATTTGCGCATTTGTGCCAATGGATACACTTCTGGGGCTGGTCAATGGTACTAGACTAATACAAAGTCCCAAAACGTTTGGTAGTTTTTGTTTTGGTTTGTTATTTGCGCATTTGTGCCAATGGATACACTTCTGGGGCTGGTCAATGGTACTAGACTAATACAAAGTTCCAAAACGTTTGGTAGTTTTTGTTTTGTTTTGTTATTTGTGCATTTGTGCCAATGGATACACTTCTGGGGCTGGTCAATGGTACTAGACTAATACAAAGTTCCAAAAAGTTTGGTAGTTTTTGTTTTGGTTTGTTATTTGCGCATTTGTGCCAATGGATACACTTCTGGGGCTGGTCAAGGGTACTAGACTAGAATTCTTCTTCTCACTTGATCCCAAAATACTATCTTTGTTTGTTGTTTGTATCAATATTAGCCCTGCAATAACAGCAAGCAACAACACCCCCCCCCCCCGGAAAATTGGGTTTTTAGTTAATAAAGCACACAGTGCACTTTGCAGAATTGAATTATACTTTTAAAACCAATAGAAAGGAAAGCAAGAAGTCTAGACTAGTATATTAGAATTAAAATAGACTACAAAGTAAAGAAAGCAGCTTGTAGAAAGAAATCCAAAGAGGAAAAAAATGGCAAAAACCCCAAAATGAATCCTAAATAGACCCCCCCACACACACACACACACACTTACAAAGGCAAATGGCAGTGATTTTAAAATAACAACAACAACAACAACACTTTATTTATATTCTGCCCTTCTCACCTCGAAGGAGACTCAGGGTGGATCACAAGTACACATATACAGCAAACAGTAAATGCCATTTGTATAGACAGTACACAGACAGACAGCACATAAGGAAGTATTGCGTCAATGCCATGGATGGTTGGGCTCGAGTCCACATGGGGTCGTGTCGCTCCATCCTCTATTATGAAGAGCCGTCAGGACTTCCTCATTCCAGCATTTTCTGATCTTCTTTTTCTTTATGGCATTGTAAAACACCTCGCCCGCTTTAGCAGTACCGAATTTCTCTAATTACAGCTTAAGCTGTTTTCGAACTGCTTAGGTAAATAGTGAGCAGGGCTGACGGTCAGCCATTCACACCGACCCGGGGCTTTGAACTTGCACCTTTCGGTTGATAGATCTTATGGTTGCCGATGATTTACCAGCTGTGCTAAACCTCCAGCCCCAGGATCCTAAACTCAGCTGTGACAACCCTAAAAGGAATCCTAAGCTGCTTGGCAAACTAGACTTGCATGTCACATGCAGAAGTATTTGAGAACAGACAAATTCAGTTCCTAACTCCTGTGCTACCCTCAATCTCCCTACCAGTTCCCAGTTGTATTTTTTGAAGAATCTGTTTTCTGTTACGTTCCACTATATTAAATGTGTAGGAGGATTAATAAAGTGCCTAATATGAGCTGCATTTTCTGTTTTCTGATTTGGAAACATTACATTTCCCTGGCAACAATTAATTTTGGAATATTTACTCTTCTTTTCACAGTGTGGACCATTTGATTATGACCAAGTAGGGTTGGGGGCTGGCTAATTTTCCGACATTGCTTTGAGCTAAACACCTAAGTGGTTTTAATTTTTGTTTTACTTGAAGAGAAAAAATATATATTTATAATATGAATAATTTTTCCAATTGTATTTTATGACCAGCAGAGTTTATTCTGTAACAGTATTACTGAATAAGTCACAATAATATTAATCTCTTGAGTCCCAGGGATGCCTGGCTTCCACAGTCCTAAATCAGGAGGCACACACTGACAATGGGACAGTCCTGGAGTCCTCTGTGTGCGTGTGTATCTACATGTGTGCAAGCAAATCCTCATTGCTTGTCAGTGGCATTGGCTTTAAAAGAGTACTTCTTCCTCGTGTAGTCTGTGAAATGCGCACTAATGGGTTTCTGTGCGCATGCGCAGTGATTTCGGAACATTCTAGCTAAGATTAATTTGGCGGGAGTCCCGCCCACCCTCCCAATAGTATAAAAGGCAGTAGGCGGAGTTCCGCGTCAGTTCTTCTTTCCGCGCGACAGCAGAAGCATTTTGGACCTTCCTCTCTTGTTTACTTACCTGATTGCCTTGTTATCGACTCGGACTGCACTCGACGATCCTCCCTTCTCCTTCCCCGACAACGGACCGACCACGGACAGGCTAGCATGTCGGCTTTATCTTTCAAAAAATGTTTGGCTTGTGGAGTTAACCTCCCAGAAGCCGATAGACACACCAAGTGTCTCCTGTGCCTTGGGGAGTCCCACAATCGCTCTGCCTGTGAGATCTGCAGAGCCTTTACATCTCGGGCCCAAAAGAGCAGGGACTCCCGTCTCAAAGCTCTTTTATATGAACAGGCACTGGCCCCTGAGGAGACTCGCCAAGCCGCGTTAAGTCTCTCTCAACAGCCCTCACCCTCCCCTCTC